TTTTTTTTTTTTAAACCTTTTTTTTTTTTTTTTTTTTTTTTTTTGGTACAGGGGATTGAACTTGCAACCCTATTATTTTAAAAGGACAGTAATGCTCTGGATTGAAATTCATCATGTCCCAATTTTTAAGTCAAAACCTGAATCTCTCATGCTTTTCTTCCTTACATAAAGCTGAGGTTTCTTTTTTCTTTCAGTCCCCTACCTTTGGAAAGAAGAGGTGACAGTGTTCAGCTGTGAATGATTCTTCTAATCATGCTTGTGTGGCATAGAAAGGGTCTTACTTTCATAGTGGCCTATTCTTAATAGAATTTTTTAAATATTTAATACAGAGATGGGGGTAGCTCAGTGGTAGAACATTTGCTTAAAATGAGCAAGGTCCTGAGTTTAATTCCCAGCAGCACAAAATAAAAACTAATATAAATATTCTAATAAAATGTTTAGTAATTATTACTCCATTTATTTAGGTATGGTTTTGTCACTTTTGAAACACAAGAAGATGCACAAAAAATTCTGCAAGAGGTAAGTCCTTTTGGTGTATTTAACTTCATTTTGGATCTTTCTTTAAAATCAGTTCTATATGGTGCTTAATAGTAGAGTACAGTGATCACTTGCTAAAACAAAACTTACATGCATATTAAGATTGCCATTGGTCTGCAAGAAACTATCTGCAGAAAAACAAATTATAAATCATTTAAGTGTGATTGTGAGGTCATAATATAAGTTTTCAAGCTTTTTGCTTACCAACTTGTGGATATATCTTTAGTAAGGTTTTCTGAGATTATTTACCTTCTATGAAAAACTATCAGTAGTGGCAAATCTGTCACATGTGTGCTACAGTGAGCTGTTTGTATTATTGAAAGTTCTGTTGTATTTTTCCTTAAAGATAAGAGGTGGTTTTTCTAAACTAAAACCTCAGTATTCAGGTTTAATTGCAGTGCTGACACTTAGTGATAAATAAGTGGATTTACAGTCACAGTTTGGGCACTCAGTCTCACCGACAAGGAGCATTTATAGAAAAAGTCTATAGCCTGCAGATAGGTGTAATAACTTTAGTTATAGCAAATGAAACATTTAATTTTTTTAGAAAAATGTAAGTTTGAATTGTATATTATCAAAATTGTAGATAGTCAATTCTTGTTACAGTAGTCACAGTAGTTACATACCTTAACATAACCATGTATGCTGAGTCAGTGAAGACTACACTGCTGCTCTGTGGAGCAGAAAGAGCCAGGTCAGGTTCCCAAGAGCTTCTGGTCACAATATTACTACGATCAACCAGTCAATATGTAACCTTGTTTTATGTGTGTTTCTATTTAAAGATGCCATATTTAATAGATTGATGATTTATTAACATTGAATTCATGACCAGCAGAACCATGATTCATGCCTGACTAAATTCAACACCTCCAACACATGTTTTCTCTGTAAGCCTTGGACATTCTTGGGCTCAGGAACATAGCTAGCACTCTAACACTAGACTTGGATCCATTTACATAACAGAATCACTAGGAGAAATGAGGAAAACTTAACACCAAATAGAATATGAAAGAAAACACTTGTTTACAGTGTGAGCTGAAACAATATCACCTCATGTGTCCTCAGCTATTAGCAATGTGTAACTACTCAAAATTGTGACCATTCTGCTCATATCCAAAATAACCTTGACATCACCACAAGAACTGATTTGGGGGCAGTCACAAATACAGAACCAATGAATAAAGAGGATGAATTGTACTACAAACAGGGTGTTAGGGTCACAGCATCGGAAGCAAGATTAGTATTCAGATTACCTGAATCCAAAAACCTGCTCTTCCACTGTGCCCTGCTGCTTTCAGAGATAATATAATCTGAATGTTTAAAAATATTTCTTACTAATTTTTCTGTATTGGTTTCATATTTATACAGTGCCAAAATGAAAAAATATTTTATTTTTATTTTAGGCTGAAAAACTTAATTATAAAGATAAGAAACTAAACATTGGTCCAGCAATAAGAAAACAACAAGTAGGGGTCTCTCGTATGTATTGAAAACTTCTGTATTTTTGCATAGTCTTTTATAGAATTTTGTTAAGGTATCCTGTTTCTTTCATGTAATAGTTATTTTAGCAAAGTTTATAGAAGGTATTTTTTATCACAAATTAATACATCTTAGTTTTTTGGCTGAGGAAAAATATACATAAATAATGGTACCCAAATGTATTCCATATAGTTGTATCTTTAAAGGAAAAATCCTTTATGATGAAAATATCCTTTCAAATAGCAAACTTCATTAGAAATAATTTAGTAACTTGGAACTACTAATTAAAATTATTTCTACTTAGAAAAGTTATTTAAAATTAATCAGTAAAAATACTGAAAGTGAGAATATAGAACTGATAGCAGAAACTTCCTTTGAGGTTTGTACTATCCCCAAGCACAGGTGTCATAGCCACCAGAGGGAACAGGCCTTAAAGCTTTAGGATGTGTGCCTTCCTCTTGTTGTTGCAGTGCTCTTGGCTCTTCTTCTAACTCTTGCCTCTTATTACATTAAGAATCTGTATAGTTAATTTGTACCTATAAAATTATTACCATAAAAATTATAATTTTTTTTAAAACTTACCATAAAATTATAATTTTTCTTATTTTCCTAGCCACATCCTAGTGTCTACTGGAACGTTTCAATCATTGGGTGGTTATCTTAGCTCCAGTAACAAGTGAATGAGTTGTGATCATCTGAATTTCTCTGCTTTGAATTAGAAGCTAACAGATAATTCAGCAGAACAGTTCCAAAGAACACAACACTTGTATCTTTAACCCAGAGTACTCTTTGCCCATGCATTCTTAGCACAGCTCAAACATCATTTCCTCATAGATAGCCCATAGCATATATTAAGAGAGATTAATTTTCTGTATATGTAAAATAACATAAATCTTCACTACAGTTACCTGTATTACCTAGTAACGTACCCTATACTGCCTCTTCATATGTTTATCAAAATATTAATTGATTATATAATTAGCTAATAATTATTTTGCATACCAGAACCTAACTTCTGTGCACACAGAGGCTATTCCATGTCCAATTAAAAAATTTTTTTTTGCTATATCTCCAGAACCGAATTCAATGCCCTTTAATAGTATACATTATGTTATTACAGTATTCATTTAATGGATAAATCATGTTTCATTGATCGTAGCAGGAATCTGTAAACCTCCTAAATTGTGTGTGATATTTTACTTGAAAAAAATAAATGTATGTCTCTGAGAAGAAAGTCTGTGGTTTTATCAGATTCTCAAAAGAACATGGTTTTAAAAAAAAACTGAAGTAGACAGTAACCATACTAGACCAAATGCAGTGAAAACATAAAAGCTGAGAAATAATAGTGCTGTTACAGTAGTCAGCCAGTGGAACTGACAGTGCAGCTTGTCGACTGCATCAGCTTGTTTAGAGATGTTCAAAGTGTGGCATCTGGAACCCTAGCTCAAGATGTCTGGTGATGAGTCCCTGGAATTTGTATTTTAATAAACTGTCTAGGTGACTCAAGTGGATGTTAAATTTTGAGAAGCACAGGTATAGTTGAAGGAGTATTATCAGTTCCAGTCATTTATAAAACCTTGCTAGTCAAGTACTTAATCCAGTTTGTAACTCTACGACAGACAGTATGTGTAATTTGATTTATTATTGTATCTTTGTTTTTGTTTTTGGCAGTACTGGGGATTGAACCCAGGGTATTCACACTGAGTTGTATACCCACCCCTTTTTTATTCTTTTGAGACAAGGTCTTGCTGAGTCAGTAAGTTACCTAGGCTAAGCTAAAACGTGCAGTCCTCCTGGCTCAGCCTCCCAAAGTGCTGAGATTTATAGGTGTGTGCCATCGTGCCCAGCTGATTTTTTTTTTTTTTTTTTTTTTTTTTTTTTTGGAGAGGGGATCTGGCTTAGAAAATGAGTTGGAGACTGGATTCCCAGACTAACTACACATAGACTGGTCATGTTGGGCCACAGATTTAGCTCAGTGGTTCCGCTGCCTGCCTTGCAAGTGCAAGGATCCGAGTTCAATCTCCGGTACCAAAAAAACAAGACTGATCATGTTTTCAAGAACAGTGGTTTTAACAGAGGGAGACTGGAAAGAAAAGAGAATCATAGTATGGATGAATGGCTGCTAGCAGTAAAGCCAGACAAGTAGAGTGGAACCCGGAGGTCTACAGCAAGGTGGAATCTTCTCCAGCCTTACTTCCTCCATCATCTTTGAACTTTATAAATTAGGTCTAAAACATTAGGAATTTTAATATCTGTAGTCTCCATAACTCTAAATTGTTCATAAAAATGACTTAGCAGATAATGTATATTTTCTTTGTTTCATTATACTGGTGTTAAAATCTGAATTGATAGATTTTTAATATTTTTATTGGCCTTGTCTCTTTCTCTGTTTAATTACCTTAAGCTAATAAAAGTTATAAGGTGGGCTAGGGATTTAGCTCAGTGGTTCCACTGCCTGCCTTGCAAGCGCAAAGACCCTAGTTCAATCCCCAGTACCAAAAAAAAAAAAAAACAAGTTATAAGGTAATGAGTTTGAAAATAGATACTTCAAAGACAGTTTATCCCATTTGAGCAAGCTGCTATTCTGCTGGGTGTCATCCCAAAAGAATTAAAAGACTCAAACCACAATGATATATGTACACTCATGTTTATAGTGGCAGAGTTTGTAATAGTAAAACTTGGAAAAAGCCCAGTTGCCCATCAACTGGAGACTGGATAAAGATTTTTTTTTAATGGAGTACAGTGAGAAACTAGACACATTTATAGCTAAATGAATGGACATTGAGGCCATACTCTTAAGTGAAATAAATGGGACACACATAAATACTGGATAGTTTCTCTGGAAACTAAAAGTGTAAATAAGGATCAAAATGTATAATTGATAATGTAAAATAGGAATAAAAGGTCCAGAGGGGAAGGGGAAGTGGGATGGGTTGGGGAAAGGAAAGAAGGGAATAGAATTAATATGAGAAACTGAAAAAGTGGAAACAGAGTCTTTGTAAATAGGGAGGGATAGAGGAGCTAAAGGCAGGGGAGGGGATTGGGGGGAAAATGAGAACCAAGATAGATTATGGGAAGTTACAAATATCCAATAATGAATGTCATATTGTATACCTAAAATGTACCAATAAACTTCATGAAAGAAAAAATACAGTGTATATATGGAATTTAGAAACATTTGTGTTATTTTACTGTACCTTTGTAGATGTGTTAAATATTTTTCCAAAAGTGTTCAGAAATTACATATTTAAAAGCTAAATTGTTTCAATTCTTCAATATTTGCTTAGGTTCTAGTGTAATGCCAGCTGCTGGAACTATGTATCTAACCACTTCAACAGGATACCCTTACACTTACCATAATGGTGTGGCTTATTTTCATACTCCAGAGGTCACTTCTGTTCCACCACCTTGGCCTGTAAGTAACTTCATTTTAAGAATTTTCATCTATTAATATCAAATATTTTTAAATATTTTATTTCTCAAACATTTCAAACACAATACAAAAACATAATACCTATGTCCCTGTCACTTAAATTTAATAAATGTTAACATTCTACCATATTTACTTAAATTATTTTAAAAGGAAGAATAAAATATGGCAAATACAAGTAAAGTTCTCATCTCTATTCTTTTTTAATCAATTTTATTGGTACATTTTATGTATACACTATAATGATATTTGTCATTGGAAATTTGTACCTTTACGTAATTTATCTTGGTTCTTATTTTTTTCCCCATTCTCCTGCCCTCCCTTCAACCCCTTCCTCCCCTCCCTATTTACAGAGACTCTGTTTCCACTTTTTCAGTTTCTCATATTAATTCCATTCCCTTCTTTCCTTTCCCCAAACCATCCCATTTCCCCTTCCCTTTTGCTCCTTTTCTTCCTATTTGATGTTATCTATTATACATTTTAGTCTTTATTTACACTTTGTTTCTCACACTAGAGAAACTATTTGGTATTTACACATGTGTGTCTATTTATTTCACTTAAGAGTATGGCTTCAATGTGCATCCATTTAGCTACAAATGTCTCTAATTTCTTGTTCTTTATGACTGAGTAGTACTTCATTTTATTTAAAAAAATAAAATAAAACATGTTTCCTTTATCCAGTCTCTAGTTGTTGGGCCACTGGGCTGTTGCCAAGTTTTAGCTATTACAAACTATGCCACTATAAACATGGGTGCACATATATCACTGTGGTATGATTCTTTTCATTCTTTTGAGATGATACCCAGCATGGGATTAGCTGGGTCAAATCTAATCTTTCTAATCCTAGTTGTTTGAGGTATCTGCATACTGATTTCCATAGTGGTTGCACCAGTCTGCACTGCCACCAGCAGTGGATCAAAGTTCTTCTTTCCCCACAGCCATTCTTTCTGGAGTGAGGTGAAAGCTCAGCATTGTTTTTATTTGCATCTCTCAAATGACCAGTGATGTTGAACATTTTTTCATATGTTTATTTGCTATTTTTACTTCTTAGAGAAATGTCTTTTCATTTCAGATACCCATTTTTGGATTGGGTCTTTAAATTTGGAAGGTCTGATTTTTTTAACTTCTTTGTGTATTCTAAATAGTAGACCTTTGTGTGAGGAACAGTTGGTGAAAATTTTTTCCCACATTGTGAGTTATCTCTTCTCGCTGTTGGTAGTTTCTCTTGCTGTGCAGAAGCTTTTTAAAAAGAAGAGATCCTACTTGCTGATTGTGCTAGTTCACGTGCAATCACAGTGTTGTTCTTGAAGTCTTTTCTGATGCCAATGTCTTTAAGAGTTCTATGTAACCTCTCTTCCAACCAGTTTAGTGTTTCTATTTTAATATTTAGATCTTTAATCCATTTGGATTTTAGTTTAGTGCATGGTGAGAGACACAGGTCTAGTTTTAATCTTTGGCAAGTTAAAACCCAGTTTTTCCTGCATCTTTTGTTAAAGAGGTTGTCTTTCCTTCATTGAGGGTATTTGGCTCCTTTGTCGAAAATGAGGTGTCAGAGTGTCATCATCTCTATTCTTAACATCTTTTCCTTCTCAGAATATATTTCCCATCTGTTTTGTATGTTTTTTACTGTAAATGTATGTATCCTTAAACATCATATAATATTGCTTTGAATGGGGGATGTTTATGTTTTTGTTTTAGCAGAACCTGAGATCGAACTCAGACCCTTGAGCTTATCAGGCAGGCACAAAGCCACTGAGCTACATCCCCAGTCCATTTTACAAGTCTTATATAAATTAAGTTTCTACTCAACACTATGTTTTTGAGATTAAACTGTGTTGATTTTTTTTTAGATTATGCCGTTAATCTGTGAATATCTAATTCACTTACTTTAATATTTTATATTATTATATGAATGTACTACAGTTTTTTATATTCCTTTATTCATGGATATTTTAATTTTTTTCTACAATGAAGGTTATATTGAACATCCAGATCTTATGTGTATTATGAATTTTTTCAGGGCAGTGGTTTTCAAAGGTTTTGTTATATATCCTCTAATTTTTGAAAAATTATAAATATACTCATTTTAAGGTGATATCTGAAACTTGTGAGTTTACTTTAGACATATGGTCTATTACAGATTTGTTTTAAATATTTATCAAAACCTTGTACCCATATATTTAGCTTTTTTATTTATTATTTATTTTGGTACTGGAAATCAAACTTAGGTCCTTGCGCTTGCAAAGCAGGTGCCGGAACCACTGAGCTAAATCCCCATCCCTAGCTTTTTTTAATAATTGAAAAAGTCTGCTCTACAGCCTAGTTAACAAAGCCAGTCATCATATAAAGGTACAAGATCCCAATAATGCATATAACTGTACTGTATACGTAAAATGTACCAATAAACTCAATGAAAAAAATTTTAAAAAACAAAGCTAGTTAATTGAATAAAACTATTAGAAGACTCTGACTTTGTTTTAAACTTAAAAGAGTTTATATGTATCCCTGTGGACATCAGCTAACTTAATTTTTTTATGAAATAAGTTACCATCTCCTATTTAATGTTACTTATGCAGCTCTTTTTGTTTTAACTCTTCCTATTTCTCTGTTTCTTTTACCTTCTTGAATTGTGTATTTGTTTGATGCACTGATTCTGTTTACATTACAGAAAAAAGCAGTATAGTAAGATCCAGAAAGAATGAGAACTATGTGTTTATTTAGGGAAGGAAGTGAATGAAAGGGGAGTTTTGAAAAGAGGAATCCAGAAAACACAGAAATATTCACAGGCAGATCGTCAAGTTTAGGTTCTGAAAATTGGTGCTCTTAGTTTTTCATGCCTGTAAATTACTGGAAAATTTTTGTACTCCCCTAACATACTCTGATATATTCATAGAACTGAAATTTCATTTGCATCTTTAAATGTTGACTAAAAGCTTTAGAAAGTGTACCTGTTTATAAACTCTAGCCAGCAGTATGTGACACCTCCAGTTCTTCATACTGTGCCAACCCTTACAGCTACCAGATTCTTAAATTTTTAGTCAGTGTCATTATGCAGTGTCATTTGGTATTTGCCAGTGTCATCATGGTATTTGGTTTTATTTTTTTATCTGTGTAATTACTGGTATTTTCATATATTTATTGGTCATTCTAGTTTCTTCTATGAACTACCTGTTCATATTTTTGCTCATTTTTCTGTGAGGGTGATTTGGCATTTTCTTGTTCATTACCTGAATTTTGTGAATTGTAAATATATCCTTCCAGTTTGCAGATTGTCCATTTATCATGATTTGAGGATTTCCCCCCATTTAAAAAGTTACAATTTTTGTATTAATTTAATGTTGACAAATGTATTGTTTTCCTTTATGGTTTCAATTTTTAGTATCTCATTTTAAAAATTCCTTTTTTACAAGAATGTTGATAATTTTTTTTAAATTCTGTAGTGTTGCTGCCTTTTGAAACTAGATCTTAAATCTCTGGGATATGTAATAACTAAACTATCCATTTCCTATTTGAAATGAGTCCTCATTCAAAAATCCTAGTTGCTCTTTGTGGATCTTTTTTCTATTCCTGTGGTACACTTGCTTACTCTGACCAATTGTGTTTTCATTTATGTGACCTTAGAATGAGTCTGAAGTATGATAGAACAGATTCACTTTATTCTTCAGGAGTCCATCATAAGTCTTTGCTTTTATAAATACAATTTTTATAATTCAACTTGTTTATTTCTGCAAAAAGCCCTTTTGTGTTCTTATAAGAATTTACATTCATTATATAGATTAATTTGGGACATTTAGGTATTTTCTAATATCAAATCTTCCCATCCATGAAAATGATATGTCTCTGTTTAGGTCCTTTTCATTTTATCTTCACCTCCCAACTCCTTGAGTTATTATCATAGCAGTGTTCCTGCTACAGAATTGATGTAATAACTTTATAATCTTATTCTTGAAAGAATGAACAAGTTCCTTATTGATTCACCATTAAACTTTTTTTCTTTCTCTCTTTTTCTGTCTTTCTGTAGGCTTTGGAAAATATTCTTCACCAGAGTCTCACAAGCAGAGTCTCACAGCCTTGGCATTATTGCCATTTTGAACGAAATAGTTTCTTTGTTGGGGAGAGCTCTCCTGTGCGTTGTAGGATGTTTAGAATTGTCCCCAGCTACTCCACAGTTATGAAAACCAAAACATTTTCCAGCATTTCCAGTTAATCTCTATGAGGCAGAATCACCCATGGTGAAAGCTGTTGCGCTAAAACAATTTAGGAAGTTTCCACGGTAAAAACAGGCAGTGTACCCCTAAGTTCAAATGCCACTTTAAACATTCTCTTTGACGCTATTTTTGATAATCTTTGAAGTTGATTCATTTCAGACTAAGAGCAAGTTTTCTGGTACTGTACTTGCTTTACTACCATACTACTGTGGAAATGAAACACGCGGAAACAGGTGTACTCTGACGGTTGTTTAAATAGACTTAAGTAGAGTTGATAATAATAATAAGTATAAAATCACTTTAATCATTAACAAAAAGTTTACTGAGTTTATGCAGTAATTTGAAAAATTTTATTATTAGATATTTTAAAGAATTTTGCCTAAAACAATTTTACTTTTCTTTCCTCATACAGTCACGTGCCATATGTAGTTCTCCTGTGATGGTAGCTCAGCCTGTTTATCAGCAACCTGCATATCACTACCAGGTAGACATTAAATTACAATTCAAACCCTCTCTGATACTTTCAGTTCTTTTTGAGGTAATGTTCCTTCCTTTCTTGTGCAAATAACCTGCTGATCAAAAAGAGATGGTCAAGCCTTAACGGCAGGGTTGTTTTTTTTTTTATGAGGGAATTAAATAATGTTATATAAGATGGGCAGGGCTTCAGGGTCAGTTTTGTTCCCCTGGCTAACCTTAAAAACACCTTTAGCAATAATTCCTCAAGTCAGATACAGGTAGTGGACCCCAAGCTGATGTTTTATGTTACTGTTTACATTATGTCAATTTCTTGTTATATTGCAACAGCTTGTGGTTTATTACCTATTACATTTTGACAGCCTTTTTTAGTTAACCAGCACCCTTCTTTTTATTGACTCTAGTGGGCCAGACTATTTTGGTTTATAGCAGAGTCATCAAACAGTGCTTCTAGACCAGACCCAGCCAACAGCCTGTTTTTGTAGATAAAGCATTACTGGAACATAGCCTCATTTTCTTTTGTATTATCTATGGTTGCTTTTGTGCTAGCATGAAAGAGCTGAGTAGTTTTAACAGAGATCATATGGCCTATAAATCTTAAAATATTTACTCTCTAGTCCTTTACATGAAACATTTCTCAACCTCTGGTTTATAACATTTGCACATAAAATCACATTCTTTCATGCCTCTGGAGCAGTGGAAGAACTTTTTATTTCTGTCACCTTTTCAACTTTTAAAATAGACCTACACAAAATGTTAACATTATAGGATCAGACAAGGTATGGGTGGCTTTTTCCTGAAATTCCAGCACTTGGGATGCTGAGGCAGGAGGATTGCCATGAGTTTGAAGCCAGCCTGGGATACATAGTGAAACTCTTGTCTCAAAAAAAAAAAAAAAAAAAAAAATTACAGAATCTTTTTTCCTATTACACTTTGTTTTGGGAAAATCAATTTTTCTATTACTGTGCTAAATATAATACCTCACTTTTAAAGCTAAAGTAATTTTATAGCATTTATTTAAAGCACATTAGGTAGCATGAGTTTTCCTAGACTGTCACAGAATCCCAGCAGAGGCCCCAGAAACATGATCAGGTGCTGCTGCCATATCATTTAATGTAGCAGGCTGAACAGCTGAACAGGGTTTTGAGACCCTTAGCTCTTTGCCCACCTCGAGCACCTGGTAATAAGGTAGAGCCCTAACAGGGTTTTCTTTAGCAAGTGATTGTTAGCATACAGTGTCCTTCCCCTCCTCTTCAACTGATTGAAAAAGGCTAGGGGATGACTGAGTTTAATACATCTGTTCCTTGGAACTTGGGGCATGCTGGCACTTTTGGACTCAACCTCTTCTTAAAAATAATATCCCAAGAAGAATCCAGTGGTAGAGACAGGGAGGAAGACTGGGTTGAATTTTAATGAGCAACAAGCAAAGTGAACCTCAAAGAGGAACCTCTTCCCAAAAACCTTTGTGGTGACTCCAGTTCAAAGGACTCAGTGCAAGGTAGGCTTCTAGAATCAAAGTTTAAACCTGTAGTCTCAGGTTCCCAGCAGGAATATCACTAGTGAGTCTAGTAAAGTACCCTAACTAGAGGAATCACTTGGCGTATGCGAAACCCCTAAAATTATCTGTCCTAGCTTTTACCAGGGACAAGAAGAGCAACGCAGTTTAGTACTTAGAGAGTGTTTTCTGCTTGTGCCTTACTGAGTTCACCTCCTCCTCTCCTTTGTTAATTGATTACATACAGCTGTAGCTCACTTGTCATATCAGAAAGTTTAATACAATTAATTTTACCTTGATTCTGATTTTCTGCTTGACACAAATTATAAATGTGTTACCTAGATATAGTTGGAATTAGGGATCCATATTTCTCAAAATAAAATAATTTCAGTTCACAGTTTTCTTTCCAGTTACATATTTATTATAATTCTACCCTTAAAATTGCCAGTTTGGTCAGAATCCTATCCCTTCTTACAAATTCTAAGATTGATAGTCTTATCAGTTTCTGTAGTCAAAAACAAGTAATATGTGGCTTAATCAGTATTTACCTCCTTCACTTCATAGTTATTTATGTAATAAATCAGCATATCAATAATTGTATTTCAAATTTTTATTAAAATACTTATAAGATTATATTTTATCCTGCATCTTTCAGTCTGTCATATGAAATGTAGATTTCGCATTATCTCTGTTATCATTATAATACAGTGGTATTGTCCCTTAGCAGTTGAAGTGGTCAGAACTGAATTTACAGTGATTTCCTTTAGATGGTACATGGGGTCATCTTTCTGTGATTTTTTTAGTTTAATCATAAGAAAGAGACTTTATTTAAAACGAATAAGAATAAAACATTCATTATTAAAAATTAATATATCTCAAGAAATAAAGTCTAGCTTTTATATTGTCATCTTACGATAAGAATCTTAAATAAATCACCCGCAATCCTATAGTGGTGATTGAACCTAAGGCTTCACATGTGCTAGGAAAGTGCTCTGCCACTAAGATAAGCTCCAGTGCTTTTTAAATTTCATTTGGACACAGAGCCTTCCTAAAATGCTCAGGCTGGCCTTGAACTCATGCTTTACCTGCCTTAGCCTGTTGAGTACTTGGAATTATAGATTTGTGCTACTGTACCTCGCCCAGCCTTTTTTTAATTAATAGCTTTATTTAGATATAATTCACATACAATCCACCTAACAAAGAAACAGTTGAATGGTTTATAGTAAATTCATTGTTACTGTGCAACCACACCAAAGTCAGCCTTAGAATATTTTAATCACCCCCTGCAAAAAAAAAAAAAAAATCTTACCCATTAGGAGTCACTTCTGTTTCCCCCCATCCCCAGCCCTAGGTTTCCAGTAATCTTCTCTGTCTTCATAGATTTGTCTGTTCTGGACATTTTACATAAAGAGTCACATACTGTATGGTATTTCATGACTGACTGTGTCCACTCAGCAGAAAGGTTAACAGTACTCACATGGTTGCACACATCAGTACATCTCACAATAAAATCCCTTGGTGTGGGTCCACTGAAATTTTGTTCATACATCAAACAAAAAATATTTGAATTGTCTCTGTTTGTTGGATATTACAAATAACATTGTAATGAACAGCATTATTGATGAACAAGTTTTGGTGGGACATACATTTGCATTTTTCTTAGGTCTTAGAATGGAATTTATGTACTTAACTTTTTAAAGTATCACCCTGCTTTACAAAAAGGCTGTACCATTTTATAGTTCCACCAGCAGATTACAAGCATCTGATTTGCTCCACATCCTCTCCAACACTTGTTCTCAGGTACACTTTGATTATAGCTATCCTAGAAGGTATAAAGTGGTATTACATTTTATTTGTATTTCCACACAGGCTGATGATGTTAACACCTTCTTTTTAATGTGCTTATGGGGTGTGTGTGTGTGTGTGTGTGTGTGTGTGTCTTATTGCCTTATATATCTGTGTCTTGTGTATATCTTTTTTGGTGAAAAGTCTGTTCATATCATTCACTCATTTTTAAGTTGTGTTATTTCTGTTTTTATTTTTGCGTTTTTAGAGTTCTTTGTATATAGATATAATTTCATTATCAGATATATGATTTATAAATACTTTGTCCTGTATCATGTATTATATTTTCATTTCTTGTTGGTATCTTTTACAGTGTTGGAAGTTTTGATGTTTATGTTTGTTTTTTTCTTCTATTGTTTGGTTATCTTGTGTGTTTTGGATATCATAATTTTATTTTTTAATATATACAAATACTTTAATCTATACATTTAGAAAATCAAAATGTTAAATACATTATTAAAAGTGCTCAAGAGTAGTATTTCCCATTGTTTCAATTATAGGGAAAAATTCTTTGATAAAATCCAATATTCATTTGTTGAATCAGTGTATGCCTTTGTGTAGCTGTTCTTTTTTAAAAACTTTTTATCATCATTTTTAAAACAGTGGCTACTTCAGTATCACAAAGATTTATAGATGTATTTTTCTAAGAGTTTCATCACTTTAGCTTTTACATTTTGGTCTCTCGTCCATCTTGAGTTAATTTTTATATATGGTGTATGTGACCAACTTCATTGTTTTGCATGGTGCTATCCAATATTTATAACATGGGTGATTTTTTTGTTTGTTGTTTCTCATTTTAGGCCCCAACACAATGTCTACCAGGACAGTGGCAGTGGGGTGTTCCTCAGGTAAATATTAACAGTCAGTACCTAATTTAAATATATAAAATCTGTATTCTTATGAAAACTGTGTAGAGACTAAAGTCAGGAAAACTACCTTTCAGACCTCCCTTTTATATTTATTAACTGTGATTCCTTTAACAGTTCATTTAATCACTTTATTCTCATTTGCTCTTAATGATGCTACACCTTTGTAAGTTTCCTTACATGATGTTTGTGAAGATAAACTAAATATGTAAATGAAAGCATTTTATAAGTAAGTGAATGCTATAAAACAAATTATTTCTAAAAATATAAAAAATAAAACATTATTTCTTTTTACTATTACTATTATTGTAAATTTTAGCATTTCTCTAGTTTCACTTCCATTTTTGTTTCAGTTGAACTTAACCTCCTAAATAACTACAGGTCTTGATATCCTTATCCTAAATTCCTGGGAGCAGAACTGTTACATATTTTTGAGTTTTTTTAGACTTTGGAATAATTATATAGGCATTACTAGTTGAATATCCCTAATCTCAAATCCAGAATGCTCTCAAATCTGAAACTTCAGAAATTTTCAAACTATTATTTTTCAGTTTTTAGAAAAACTGGTATACTACCAAAAATACTGTTTAATGACGTTTTCCCACTTCTATGGGAAGTCACAAAGCTGAGCAGACATGCCAATTTATATATCATGGATTATAGTATTATAGTTTTTAATGGTGATATTACTATAACCACAATTATAACCTGAATTGACATGTAAGATTCTGAGGCACTAATGACTTTTGATATTTACAGTGATTGTTCTTTAATGATGTCTGTGTAACTGGAATTTATAAAGACCTAGAGTTCCTAGTATATTGCTAAGATAATTCTGTGCTATCTCTTAAAAAGTGTCTTAGGAAAATATGAAACACATGTCTCTCATCTTTTCGGTAAGTCACTGGTCTAACACAGTGGTGGCAAACCTATGACAAGTGCCACAGCGAGCTGTATCATTGAAAGCTCTTAAAGGTTCATCATCACTGGTCTAACAGAAATTATTAATCATATTTGAATTTGAACTATGGTTTGTGTTTTAGTCTCCTGCCTCTTCTACTCCATTCTTATACCTACAACCTTCTGAGGTAATTTATCAACCCATGGAGATTGCACAAGATGGTGGATGTGTTCCTCCTCCACTATCTCTGATGGAAGCATCTGTTCCAGAGGTAACTGTGGAATTTTTAATTTATTTGGTTTTTAATTTTGGGCAGTGCTGGGGATGGAGCAGGGTCTTGCACATGTTAGAGTGCTTGTTAGGCAAGCACTCTACAACAGTGCTACATCCCCAGCACCATAGCCCTATAGTAATATTAAAGTAAAGTGGGGGCTGGGGATTTAGCTCAGTGGTTCTGCCGCCTGCCTCACAAGTGGAAGGTCCAGAGTACAATCTCTGGTACAAAAAAAAAAAACCACAAGAATATTAAAGTGATCTTTAGCAACTTCATCTTTCTGTTTTTAATTTGTAAATATCTTCAGCATCTGCAAGGCTTTTGTGGTGTTAGGTTTCCTAAAAAAGAAAAAAAATATTAATACCTTTACTCATTCCATGATTATTTTTAACCCTTGCCAAGTCTTCATACTACCATTTCCTCTCTTTCACTCTTAGAGCATAGCTTTACTTTCTCTTTGACAAAGTGGAACCCAGTTAGTGCAAAATAACAGCCTGCAATCCCAGCATACAGACTTAAATCCCAACTCTTGCTTAGCTTCTGATACCTATTTAGAGATTTAAGTCTTGTCGAAGGTTATTTTCTGACTCATGCTCTGAATATTTGCAGTTCCCTTCCATTCCATCTATGACCCTTTTATTTTCTTGTATTTTAAGTCTTTTTTTTCCTGCGTTGGTTTACAGCTTCACTATTTACTGTGTTACTTGGGAAATTACTTAATCTTCACAGTCTTGCTTTCATAAATTTCTTATTTGTAAAATAAGGAAAATCTTGTTTTTGGGATTCATGTAAAGATTAAGGATATTGCATACAAAGTTCTTTGTTTAATGCCTAGCACCTTGTAAGGGGCAGTTATTATCCCATGACACAATGCCCCAGGTCTAACTCCTCTTAGCTCTCAAAGCCAAGATTCTTGAATGAGTTCTCTATGTTCATTATTCCTACTGCTTCACTACCCCCACCTACTGAGTCTGCTTCATTACCATCTATTAAAGGTGCTTTTGAAAAACCTTTGAAAAAGGTCCTTAGTGACTTTCTGTTGTCAAATCATTCTTCCTCTTTAATCTTACTTGGACTCTCAGAGACACTACATATTCCTTGAGGTATTTTCTCCCGTGGTTCACATGATACTGCTCTTTTCTGGTGGATTCCTTTTTTGCTTCTGTTTTCCCTTATAAACTAATCCCTTGCTCCTCATGATTTCATGTTTGTCTCTCCATTCTTTCACCCTCTGTATTCACTTCTATGCAATTATCCATACCTGTGACAGGTCTCTGACCCAGCTTCCCTCTCTATACCTATCCTGCCACATATGGCCATAAGCACTTGATTGTGGCAAGATCAAATTGAGTTGTTGTGTACTTGTGAAATACACACCAGATTTTTAATGACATATTATGCCCCCCGAAAAAGTTAAAAGCTCAATAATTTAATATTGGATATACTTTTATATGATAATAGTTTGAATCTGTTGTATTAAATAAAATATATTATTAAAACATAATTTTTATATTCTTTTGGGGAGTCAGGACCAGGGATCAAACTTGGGTCCTTGCACTTGAGAGGCAGGCGGCAACACCACTGAGCTAAATCCTTGGCCCTATTAAAATGTAATTTTACCTATTACTGTTTTCTAACATTACTCCTGGAAAATTTCACCTTACATATGTAGTTCACTTTACATTTCTGTTGAACAGTATATCTCTAGTAGAATTCCTGCAAATAATTGTACATGTCATAAACCTAACTTCTCTCCATCAACTTCTTCATCACATATGATTATATAAACATTAGACTTTCCTGTGTTCCATAGATGGTGCCTCATCTTAGAGAAGCCGTACGTATGCTTTACCAGTTCTTTTTCCTGCCTGTTGTTCCACTGCTCTTCTTCCAGCTGTCTTTCAGTGTGTGATCTCTCTTCTAGCATGCCAAACTACCTGTTCAGATCTCCCAGATGAGGTGTGTTCTTACTTCCTTCTGTGTCTGATGATACTACTCCATCATTCTTTCTCTAATTCTTCAAAATCAAACATCAGCCCCTTGAAGAAACTGTCCTTTACCACCCTAACTCAACTTTCTTAAGGAACACCAAGTTCTCCTTTTCTTTCCTCCCATGCATCATATACCTGTGTCACAGGGCATATCATAGTTTCACTACTGTGTGTTTCTTGATCAGACTGTAAGTTAATTAAACAGATAATGTTTTTTTTTTGTTTCTCTTTGTTGTATAGCAAAGTGCTTAGCACACTGTAATGCTAAATAACTCTTTTTAATTAACAAATGAAAGTAATGTCTTTCCCCCCACTCCCTCCTTCCCCACACCTGCTTTCCTTTTATAATAGCCTTATTCTGATCATGGAGTTCAAGCAACATATCATCAGGTTTATGCTCCAAGTGCCATTGCTATGCCTGCGCCTGTGATGCAGACTGAAGCAATTAAAGTAAGGAGTTCATGTTGATTCTTTTTCTGTTTTTCTTCAGTTATATATCAAGTTTTCCAAATTTCTTTTCTGGGAAGAGAAATGGTATTGTTACCGCATCTGTGATCAGAAATACAGAATTTATGTTGTACAAATACAGTTCAAAATTAATTATAATTCCTATTAATTACCTTTAAAGATGTTATTAGTCATACATGACCCCGATTTTTTGCTTATTGTGGTAAAATATATATAAATTTAAGGTTTACCATTTTAACCACTTTGAGGATACAGTTCAGTGGCATTAATTGCATTCGTAATCATGTACTAATAATCACCATTTCCAAACTTTTCCATTGCCCAAATAGAAACTGTTTTCATTAAGCTGTAAAACTATCTTTCTCTTTTTGCCATCCCAGTCCTTTTTAACCTTTAGTCTACTTTCTGTCTCTATGAATTTTCCTATTCTATATATATATTTCATATACTCAGATTCTTAATCATCTATGTTGACATCACATAACATTTACAGGGAGATGAAAACAGTTAATGAGCTGCTCTTTCTGCTTTCAAGTGTGTTTGTGCTCCCTAAATCAGATTCAGGCCAAAGAATGATGCACTTCTGTAGTTAGATCTGTGTGTACATATTTTTTGGCTGTCTACAGTATAACAAGTATACCTCCTATTCCTTTATTAAGCAAGTTTCTTAATTAAATCTTTGTATTATAACTTTAGGGAAATAGATTTTATCTCTAGTAAACTGCAGATTATTTAGAAGTCAACATAAATTTCAGGTGCATAGTAGTTTAACAGGGAAAGAAGACATAGTCTTTGCAATAAAATGACAGGGATTAGCTGCTTCACAGTGATAGTCATATTTCTGATCCATATGTGTTAAATTCAGTATCAAGACAATCTGCACTAACAAGCCTCCTCACCTAATCCACTGTCACTGTTGTGACTATGCCCTGAATCTCTTCACTCTCTGACACAGCTGTGTAAACACAAAACTACAATTTTGGCCTCACATTAGTCCTGATTTTTAGTAAACCTTATTTATAGAGACTTCACTTTTTAGCACTGTTATAAAATCTTTTAAACAGTCTTCTGATTTTAACATTTTCTCCAAATATACATCTCTAGAAATAGTTGATATTGCTATAAAATGTTGTATAGCTACTAAGAATATCACAAATACTGGAAAGTATACTGATTGAATATAGATCAAATAGAGAGGTGGTGGGTAGTATAGATTAATGGAATGCTAAGCATTGTTAATTTAAAATATTATTTTACCTTTATAAGCAATTCTCTGCTTTTCTTTAACCAATTTTAAGATTCTGTTCTTATACTGGACTTTTGGAATTTTCACTGTGGTGCAAGGTGGAGAAGTTCTTTTCTGATCCTGGTCATTTGTGGTGCTATATGCCTTATTTATCTATATATTAAATTCTTTTTCTTTATTTGGAAAGTTTTCTGCTATTACTTCAGTAAACAGATTTGTATTCTATTTTTCACTAATTCCAATTAATCTTAGTCTTCTTTGCTTCAGTTAGGAGCTATTGGATCCATTTTTCATGTTCTCTTGTTCTGAAGGTACCTCTCATTAATTGATCTTGGACAATAGCTGTGTCTTCTAGTTCTGACACATTGTCCTCACATTGGTCACTTCTGCTACCCATACTTTTGATAGAAATTTTAATCTCCTGAATTTCTGTTGGGAGACTTTTTATGGACTCTTAATTCTTTTCTATGTTGGTTATTCATGTTTTTATAAGACATTTCTGAACACAAATGTTAAAGGCCAGGAGAGCTTGGAGTGAAGTGTTTCAAGCCCAAAAGGAAAACAATTTTCAACCCAAGCTGATATAGCCCACAAAACTATCTTTCAGAATTGATGGAGAAATTAGATGCTTTCATGATAAAGAGCACCTAAAGAAATTTGTGAGCACTATATCACTCCAAAAAATTCTGAATATCTTAGAAAGAGACAATGAAGCTAGCAATGGCAAAAGGTCTACAAGAATAAGTACACCAGGTAGGGTGAGCACTGAAATAGAAGGGAGCAATAGGGAATAAGCAAAAGGAAAATAATTCAGTGAGAGGAATAAGTCACTACTGATCAGTAAGTAATAACTCTCAATGTGAATGGTCTCAGTTCCTCAATGAAAAGACACAAACTGGCAGAATGGATCAGGAAACAAAATCCAGTAATATGCTGTATAAAAGAAACACACTTCAACCCAAAAGAAACTCATAGACTAAAATCAAAGGACAGAAAACATATTCCATTCAATGGGAACCTGTGTAAAACCAAGTGTAGCTTATCCTATATTCAAACAATGTGGACTTCAAGACAAAACTGATCAAAAGAGGCAAAGAAAGTCATTACATATTGGTTAAGGGAACAATCCAACAGGAAGAGATAACAGTTATTACCATATAACCAAACAGCAGTGCACCCAACTCCATGAAAGAAGTAGTACTTCACATGAGAGAGCAGATAAACAAAATTATACTGGAGATACCACAGTACTCCACTATCACAAATAGTTCAACTGAACAGAATATATGAGAGTTGAATAAAGCCTTGAAGCAAATGAACTTAATATCTACAGAGTGTTCCAACCAATAGCAGCACAGGAACTTTCTCCAAAATAGATCACATACTAGCCAAGAAAGAAAGCTTAAGTAAATGTAAAAGAATTGAAATTGTACCCTGAATATTAGAATTCAACAACAAAAGAAAACATAGCATGTATGCAAACCCATGGAAAGAATATACTCTTAAGTAAATAGTGGCATACAGAGGAAATGAAGAAAGAAAACAGTTTCAAAAACTGATAATACCAGTATAACACACCAATAAAAAACATTTCTTTCTTAGAGCACAATGAAAGCAGTTCTAAGAGGGAAGTTTATAACTGTAAATGCCCACATCACAAAAATAGAGCAAGTCTGAATAAACTTAACAGTGCACCTCAAATCCTAGAAAAACAAGAACAATCCAAACCTAAAACTAGAAAAGGAAATTATAATGATCAGGGCAGAAATAAATGAAATTGAGACCAAAAAACAATACAGAGGCAATGAATCAGAGTTGGTTCTTTGAAAAAAATAAGCAAAATAGACAAATGCTTGGACAATCTAATCAAAAAAAGGAGAGAAAAGACAATGCAATTAAAATGAATGAAAAGGTGAAATCACAATGGACACTGCCAAAGTCAAACCGATTATTAGCAACTACACAAATCTATGCATCAGAATATAGAAGAAATGGTTAGATTCCTAGATATATAAATTATCAAGAAGATTTTTAAAACTTGAATAATACAATAACAGACAATGAAACCGAAGCAGTAATAGAAAAACCTACCAACTAAGAAAAGACCAAGTTTAGATGTATTCACTGTTAAAATCTACAAAAACAGGCAAGATCTAACACCAAAATACTCTTCAAGCCCTCTTAAAAAATTGAAAAGGAAGGAATACTCCCAAGGTCAGTCCTGGAAGCTAGCATTACTCTAATTCCAAAACTAGACGGGGCCAGAAATGTAGCTCAGCGACACATTGCCTGCCTGGCAAGCCCAAGGTCCTGGGTTCAGTCCTGGGTTCAAAAAACAAAAACAAATATCCAATCCAAAAACTGAATTATAGGGCTGGGGATGTATCTCAGCAGCAAAGCACCTGCCTAGCAAGGGCAAGGTCCTGAGTTTGATCCCTGGTTCCAAAAAAAGAATTATAGACCAATTTTGTTAATAAATATAGATGTGAAAATCCTCAACAAGATACTGGCAAACAGAAGGCAACATCATCAAAAACAACACACATCATGACCAAGTAAACTTCATTTCAGGAATGTAAGGATGGTTCAGCACATGGAGATCAATAAATATATCACATAAATAGCAAGTACAAAAGTCATGTGATCATTTCAATAGATGCAGGAAAAGGCTTTGACAATATCCAACATCCTTTCATGATAAAAGAGTGAAGAAAATATGTACAGAAGGACTTATCTCAATCTGATAAAAGCCATTTATGATAAACCTACTGCTAACATCAAAATGCGGAAAAATTGAAAGCTTTCCTTCTAAAATCAGGAACCAAGATAAGGATATCCACTGCCACCACCCCTGTTCAACGGAATACTCAAATTTTTTTTTTAATTTTATTGAGTTTATTGGTACATTTTAGGGATACAGTACAGTTACATTCATTGTTGGGATCATGTACCTTTACATGGCATCTTGATTCTGTCATTTTCTAAATGAACAATATTAAGAATCATGCACAAATATTTAATCAAAATACAGCGTGATTGCTTTAAAATAGTTCTCTTTTGCCGGGCATTTAGCTCAGTCGTTCCACCGCCTTCCTTGAAAGCACAAGGACCCGAGTTCAATCCCCAGTACCAACAAAACAAAACAATAAAATAGCTCTCCCTTTTTAGGGAAGTGAGGACT